GCCTCATAGTTCAATGGATTAATGCCTTTGGCGGACTTTGAAGTGTCAGACTTCGACTCTCTGCATCTGATAATTTAATCTAACTTTTAACCCTTCTTGCCTTAAAAAAATAAAATAAAATAAAAAAAAGGTTAGATAAAGTTTTGTTCTTTTCTTTTGTTATAAAATAAGATTCGAGTCTATTTTTATTCTCCTATCTTGCAAAATTTAGCAATCATTTTTTAAAAAATAAAAAATGACTAACGAGCAAGTAGCTCAACGCTATCAAGTCCCTACTTACTATTATCAACCTTTTACAATCATAGATTCATAATAGTAATATTTTTATTGTTGTTTGAATCATTTTTAATTTCTGAATTGTTTCAGTTTACTCTAACATTTTAAAAGTAAAATTATATTTTATAAATATTTTAAAATTAAAATTTAAAAACATATATACTAAACCTTAGTCAATCGACTTTCAAAAATATTATGAGATGAAATAATAGTAATACGCAGAAGTCATGCAAAATATTAGATTTTGTGATTTTTCCTCCATGCATGACGAACATAATTTAAAAATAAAAAAATGCAAGTACTGTTGAGGTTAAAAATCGCCGCGGTCTAGTACGACACCGTTTCCTGCAAAATAAGGATGGCAAAGTCAAACACCGGTGTGGTGCCGGCCGTTGACCTTCCGACGATCAAGTTAGTAAGGGTTCTCGATAGAGAATTTTAATCGTAATTCGCTTAGTAGGAGTTTTTTTGTATGTACCTTATTCCCGAATCGTCTTTGTATTTATAGTCACTTCCCTTATTCTTGATAAGGGAATTTCATCGTCCTTAACCCATGGAGCCTATCTCGTGGAAATCTTATCCTTGATAGGATTTGAACTTACCCCATGACAAATCCTATCCTAGATACGATTTGTCATCATTCTTATCTAATAAAAATGATTATCCTTAATAACGAGATATTATCGTCTGAGAGTTGGAGAAATCTGGTGGCCGGTCAATATTTAATTACCTTTTTCATTAAGTCAAGATAGGTTAGGGTTATTTTTCCATATCAGTTGCCCCCTATTTCCGGATACGTGGTGGACCAAGGAAATACTTTCTATATTCCATTTGTTTCCTTTTTACTATAGGCCCCTTCCATATTGTAGTAGGACTCATTTACAAGAACTTCACTGTTACTTGAAAAAGAATTTTCTTTCCTATAAATAAATAAATATATATATTTATTTATTTACCTTCCTTTTCTTTTTGGTCTGAAATCCTCCAAACTGGATCCTAACTCTGAGTTTATTGTGGATCGTTGTAGATACGTAATTGGGTCAAGTTGTCTCTACCGGGTTATCGGTGTAATTCCAAAGTGGTTTGGCTATTTTCGCGATATCCGATACCTCATCATGTTCGTGCAGAAAAATAACTTGAATACTGAATCTCAATCCGAGGACTCAACCTCTGAAAGTGTTGAAGAACTCGATCTTGACTATGCTGATGAATCTGGTGTTGATTACTCCTCATTACCAAGGACTGCTTTTTCCAAGCAACCTCCTCGTGAAGGAGAATCCTTAATTAAGGATGAGAATTTACAGAATTGTAGAGTTAAATATTCCATTCCTTCATCTATTCGTCTTCACAAACCCAAACCAGAAGATAGATGTTCTTCTATTCGTTTGGGTGAGGTATGTTTTTTCGAGTCAACTTTTGCTGCGGGCTTGCGTTTTCTGATTCATCCATTTGTAGAAGAAATTCTTTCTCATCTGAAGATAGCTCCTTCTCAAATTGCTCCTAATTCATGGAGAATTATTATAGGCTATTTGATTGTTTGGGGAAAGTGTGGCAATGACCGTCTAACAGTAAATTAATTCCTGCATTTTTATTATCCCAAGAAGAAAAAAAGACAATTTTTGGTACTTCCAGTGTAAATCAAAGAAGACATTCCTCCTTGTTGCAACCCCTAAAAATAATAAAGGTTGGAAGAGTCGTTTCTTTTTTATTTCAGGTGCATACGGGATATTTCCAACTGTTTGGAATAATTCAGATCCAACAGGTAAGATTTATATGTATATAGTTTCCAAATTATTATTATTATTTTTTATTTATTTATTTTTTTTTTTTTGGCACCCGAGGGAACAGTACCCTCGGGTACTGTTCATGAATAGAATTTTTTTTTTTTTTTTTTTTTTGGTGCAACTTATTATTCTTTTTCCCAAAATTTAAGGACAAACCAACCCTCTCCATTCCAGAAGCCGAGTATGTTGGTAATGCCTCTTCTTACCCAGTGAAGACCTTTAGCGATCTCATAACTGACGAGGCTTTAGATTTGTATGTACGAGCTCATAGCTCAAAGGAAACCTCCACCCACTTAGAGAAAGGTAAGAAAAACAAAGATACTTATATGTGAACTTACTGATTTTAGTTAATATCTCATTAAGTATTTCCCTTATTACTCTTTATGCAGGTAAGAAGCTCAGTAAAAGGCTCCTAGCCCAAGTTCGGTCAAGTAATCTCCCTTCTACTCCTGCTTTCAAAAAATTACGAAGGGTAGGAGAAGGGAATCATGGTACATCCGCAAGCCCTGGAGTGTTATCAGGTCCTACTCCTGTACCTCTAGGTTTTAGCGGATTTGGTGGGGTTCCTACTAGTTTCGAAAGTTTTGGTTCGGTATCAACTAACCAAGCCTTTTCCCACGGGGAATCAGTTCTCGATGACGCTAATGTCGCGAATGACAGGTTACATAAAATGGTAGTAAAAGATGACATTGCCAGATTGCAGAGTCTGCCAGCATCTGAGCTTTCAAAGAAATTTCTTCATCTAATCAGCCAGGTGAGATTTTACCCTTATTATGTGCATCTCTTTTTTCCGTTTATTTATTTATTTTTAACTGTTCGCCACTATTTATTTATTTATAGGGCACTACATACTCTGTTGCTATCGTCTAAGAATACGAGAAACTTTCCCTAGAGATGGCTTCCCTCAAGGCTAAATATGAAGATGTTACTTCTACACTTAAAATAAAAGAAAATAACTTAACTAATGCAAAATTAAACTTTCAAGATGAGAAAGTGAAACTTACCAAAGAATACTCTGATAAGCTGGAACTCGAGAAGCTAGCTGCCGTGGAGAGTTTTAAAAATTCTGATGAATTTAAGGTGCTCATAGGCAAGGCTTGCTGTGATGGTTTTGACCGGTTCAAAGCTCTTGTCGGCAAAGATCGTCCAGACATAGACTTTTCTATGTATGACGTTCTAAGTAAGAGCGAAGAGGAAGATTGAATTCCATAGTATTAGTCATATATATATATATATATTAGGTTTTTTGATTTCTCAGTATGTTGTTCCTTTAAAACTTTTCAGAATATCTCTGAATCCAGAGAATAGTTGCTCTACTTTTGTCTTTCATGGTATTGTGTCATACTTGTTGTTTCCTTATACAGAACTCATTTTACTTTCCCAGGCTTCACTCAGCCCGTCCTTCTTCCGAAGGAACATATTTTTACGAGCTTTACCCAGCTCGTCCCTTTAGTAAGGGAAAGTCACTTATTTCTTTTAATAAAGAAGTGGACTTAATGTGTCACTAGTCCTTATGTGACTTATAAAATTCAGTAGAAACACATGCAATAAATACGAATAACCATTTTATTAAAGACCTATCGAAAATAATAATCGATAGTTGAATATTAGCATCCGTTACACACTGGTCTGCTTTATTGAAGCTAAAAACATTCTATCACTTTTAAAAGTGAGATAATAAAATAAAACACAGCCTGGCATGAGTACCTACTGGTAATATTTCCTCAAATGTTCTACATTCCACGGGTGGGGAAGCTGGCTCCCACCAAGTAACTCTAACCAGTATGCCCCCGGTCTGTTGCTTTTGGTTACTCGATAAGGGCCCTCCCAATTGGGAGCTAACTTTCCTTCCCCCTTTTCCTTAGTAGCCGGGGTAACCTCGCGAAGCACCAGGTCTCTTGGCTCGAACCTCCTTGGCTTGACCCGGGCATTGTAGTACTTGGATATCATCCGCTGGTAAGCCGCAACCTTGACCTGGGCCTGCTCCCTTTTCTCTTTTACCAGGTCTAGGTTTAATCGTGGTTCCACCCCGTTCTGTTGAGGTTCAAAATACTTGGTTCTGAAGGTAGCAACCTTTGTTTCTACCGAGATCACAGCTTCACTTCCAAAAGCTAACCCAAAAGGGGTCTCCCTAGTGGGGGTTCTTACGGTAGAACGATAGGCCCATAAAACTCCGGGTAGTTGTTCAGGCCACAAGCCCTTGGCCTTTTCTAGGCGCGTCTTGATCATCTTCAATATTGTCCTATTCGTGACCTCAACTTGCCCATTGGCTTGGGGATGGGCAGGAGAGGAGAAATAAACTTTGATCCCAAGTTCATTACAAAAATCAAGGAACTACTCACTTTCAAACTGCTTCCCGTTATCGGTCAAAATTACCCTTGGTGCTCTGAACCTGCAGATTATTGTCTTCCAGAAAAACTTTTTTACTTCATTCGCTCCAATATGAGCTAATGGCTCAGCTTCTACCCATTTGGTGAAATAATCGATAGCCACAATTGCGTATTTAGTTTGTCCCTTCCCTTGGGGTAAGGGGCCGATGAGGTCTGTCCCCCATTGGGTAAAAGGCCATGGCCCTGTAAGAGGGGTTAACTTTTCTGCTGATTGTTTTGGGACATTGGCGAATCTCTGACACTTGTCACATTTCTTCACAAACTCAAGTGCATCTGTCCTTATAGTAGGCCAAAAGTATCCTTGTCGGATAGCTTTATGCGCTAGTGATCTGCCCCCAGCATGATTTCCACAAAGGCCTTCATGTATGTCTTTTAGAATGTAATTTGCCTCATCAATGGAGACACAATGCAAGTAAGGTAGAGAAAATCCCTTCTTGTAGAGAACCCCATCAATGAGGGAATATTTTGCCGCACGCATCCTAATCTTTCGTGCTTCCATGCGGTCCTGGGGTAGCTCTTCGTTCTCAATGTACCTGATAATGGGTTCTGCTCACTCCACCTGGTGTATTTTCTGTGGCCAATCCCAGACCATGCTAGGCTCATCCAAATATCCCACGGGTATGGCTTTATCTTCCTCTGTGGTTGCCAGTCGAGCCAGGGCGTCTGCCTGCGCATTCTCTTCTCGGGGGGTCCGGTGAATAGAAAACTTCTTAAAAAAACCCTTGATATCCTCTATCTTATGTAAATAGGTCTTCATTTTCTCATCCTTGGCTTCATATTCCCCCTGGACTTGTCCAGTTATTAGTTGAGAGTCAGTATATGCTACTAGTCGTTCAACTTCCAAAGCTTTCGCCATCCTGAGGCCTGCTAGGAGGGCTTCATACTCTACCTCATTGTTGGTTACTTTAAAACCAAACCTGAGTGCATATTTGATGCATTCCCCATTTGGGGAGATAATTACTAGCCTTGCCCCACTTGCACGGGCGTTGACAGACCCATCCACATATAACGTCCAAGTAGATTCGGCTTCTTCCTGCTTATCTATAGCATGCTAGGGCCCATCTTCTGGTGTGAATTCCGTTATAACATCTGCCAGCACCTGGGCTTTTAAGGCCGTTCGGGGTTTGTATTGGATATCGAACTCTCCAAGTTCTACCGACCACTTCATGAGTCGCCCTGAAGTATCAGGTTTGCGGAGAACCTACCTAAGTGGTTGGTCCGTCAATACTATTATTGTATGAGCTTGGAAGTAAGGGCTGAGTTTCCTCGCGGAGATAACTAGAGCAAATGCCAACTTTTCTATCCTTGGATACCTTTCTTCTGCCCCCCTGAATACACAGCTAATATAATATACCGGTTTCTGGTTTCCATCCTCTTCGTGGACCAAAGTTGAGCTTACTGCCGACGGAGAAACCGCCAAGTACAAATACAACTGTTCTCCTTGCATCGCCCGCGACAATAATGGTGGTGAAGTGAGATACTCCTTAGCTCTGTAAAAGCTTGCTCACACTCAGGGGTCCATGAAAAAGCTTTCCTGAGCACACAGAAAAAAGGCAGACACCTATCGGTCGCCCTGGAAATCAACCTGTTCAGAGCTGCGATCCTTCCTATCAATCTTTGAAGTTCCTTGGTCGATGCTGGAGACTGCATGTTGAGAATCGCCTGGACCTTCTCAGGGTTAGCTTCTATCCCTCTTCTACTTACCATGTAACCGAGGAATTTCCCAGAGGAGACTCTGAAGGCACATTTACTTGGGTTGAGCTTCATCTGGTGTTTCCTGAGGACTTGGAACGTTTCTTGTAGATCAACCAGATGGTCTTGAGCTTTCAAGCTTTTTACGAGCATGTCATCCACATACACTTCTATATTCCTTCCGATTTAGTCCTTAAACATCAGGTTTACTAGCCGCTGATATGTTGCACCAGCATTTTTTAGCCCAAAAGGCATCACCTTATAGCAATATAAACCTCTGTCCGTGATGAAAGAGGTTTTATCTCTGTCTGGTGTGTGCATTGAGATTTGGTTATACCCTAAGTGTGCATACATAAAACTGAGCAGCTCATGGCCAGCTGTCCCTTCTACCAACATATCAATTCTTGGCAGAGGGAAACTGTCTTTGGGGCACGCCTTATTTAAATCGGTAAAGTCTACGCACAACCTCCATTTTCTATTGGCCTTTTTTACCAAAACAACATTGGCCAACCAGTCGGGATAATGAACCTCTTGGATGAAATCAGCTTTCATAAGTTTATTCACCTCTTCTGATATAGCCATGTTCCTTTCCGCGGCAAATGTTCTTCATTTTTGCCTGATAGGTTTGAATGTAAGATCTGTGTTTAATCAATACTCAATCGTAGTTAGATTAATACCGGGCATGTCTTCATGTGACCAAGCGAATACAACTTGATTCAGTCTGAGGAACTGCATAAGAATATTTGTGAAATCTGAGGGGAGTAGAGACCATATCCTCACCTTTTTTGTTATGTCAATGTCATTCAAGCATATCTCCACCAAGTACTCGATTGGCTTAGCCCGGTCTTGCTCCTTATCTTCAACTTCATTGACAATCAAAGCCTCCTACTGCCTCTTTTCTTTGAGAGAGGCAACATAGCATTCTCTGGCAATGGACTGATCTTCTCTTAGTTCGCCCACGCTATGCTCGGTAGGGAAGCGCATTAATAGGTGATAAGTCGAAGTGATGGCCCTCATCGAATTTAAGGTCGTTCTTCCTAGGATGACATTGTAAGCAAATGGACAATCCACCACCAGGAAGTCGACCATGACAGTGACTTATTTTGGGCTGGTTCCTGCAGTGACAGGAAGGATAACTGCTCCTAGAGGATAGACCTTGTCTCCCGTGAATCCCACCAATGGTGATCTAGTAGGTCTGAGTTTCTCTTTACCAATCTTCTTCTTGCTGAATGCATCAAGAAAAATGATATCAACTGAACTTCTATTATCTACCAAGATTCACCGAGTATTATAGATAGCGATCATCATGGTGATGACAAGAGGGTCGTCATGAGGTTGCTGCACATCCTTCATGTCTTCATCTGAGAATGTAATAACTGGATCACCTAAACGAGGCATCTTTCGATGTTGAATCTGTACTCCTACTTCGCACACCTCAGATGAGCTTCGCATTCTCCTGCCATAGGCCTTACGGGCTGAGCTCGATTCTCCACCTCCTGCACACCCCCCGGCTATGACCCTGATCTCTCCTATTGGTTGTTGATCAGGAGGGTGGTTGTCTCGGCCTGCTCTTAGTGGGTTAATGTCGGTTCTATCATTCCCCACAATAAACTTTCGCATATGCCCCTTTCGGATCAGAGTCTCAATCTGATCCTTAAAGTCGAAGCAATCCTCTGTAGCGTGCCCATGGTCTTTATGGAACCTACAATACTTATCACGAGGTCTCCTTGCCGGATCTGACTTCAACTTCGGTGGCCACTTCAGATATGGCTCATCCTGGATCTGCAGGAAAACTTGATCTATCGGCATATTTAAAGGAGTGTAATTTGTGTACCTCTCCACGTTCTTATAGCAAGATGCCCTTTCATTCTGGTTGACCATGGGTTTCTTATACTTGGTTTCCTTTTCATCTCTGATCGTCAGGGCCGACCTTTTCTTGTCTGACTTCTTATCCTCCCCTTCTTTTCCCTTTCTCGCAATCATTGCATCTTCAGCATTCATATGTCTTTTAGCTCGAACCAATAACTCGGCCATGCTGATAGGAGGTTCCTCTGATAAATAGAAGAGGAATCTTGAGGTTTGAAGTCCTCCCATGAAGGCGGCTAGGGCCACCTTGTCATCCGCTTCCTCCACCTGTAACATTTCCGTGTTAAAACGACTAATGTAATTTCGCAGTGACTCTCCCTTCTGTTGCTTCACAGTAAGGAGGTGGGTAGCCGGCTTTCTATGCCTCTGGCCAGCAATGAAATGGCCCACAAAGCCCTTACTCAATTCTTCAAAGGTTTCGATGGTTCCTGGCTTTAGTTTGTTGAACCATACCCGTGCTGATCCTTTGAGAGTCGTTGGGAAAGCCCTGCACATGATCTCATCCGGTATCGCGTGTAGGTGCATAAGCGCCTGAAAAGTCTCCAAGTGGTCGAGGGGATCTTTAATTCCGTCGAAACTCTCAATTGTGGCCATTCTAAATTTGATTGGCAAAGGGCATTTCATAACCGAGGGGCTGAACGGCAAATTGGTCTTCTGCACCAAACCATCTATGGCTGCAATGCCTTTTCCCTTCATGGCCTGCATCACACCCTCCATCTTTGCCTTGAGATCCTGCATCTCTAAGTCAACGTGGGAAATCTCCTCGGTCTTTTCAATGACAGTCATGTCTTCACGGGGTCTGGAACTCCGTGGAAGAAAGGGGTGGATCACCTCTCTATGTCGGTTTCTCACCTGGCTTTGTTCAACTTGGGTCTCATGTCGGGAAGGATGAGTATCCTGCTCTTCCAGATTCCCATTACCCCTGTTTGGATTCGAGAGGTCTTGGCGTGGCAAGCTCTGTTGAACCGGTGGAACAAGGTGTTGCAGGAGTGCTGCATTTTGTTGGATCAACTGGTCCATACCCTGATTCAGAGTTTGGACCTGCAGTTCCAATGCTGCAAATCGTGTCTGGTCATTTAGGACGTCTAGATTTTCACACGACTTTTCCCTTTGACCAGATCCCTGCGACAGTGTTCCTTCGGTAACCATACCGGATCGTAAACGTCTATACCCAACGAGTAATAAATCGATTCAAGGGAATTGCTGATCCCACAGACGGCGCCAACTGTTGAGGTTGAAATTCGTCGTAGTCTAGTACGACACCGTTTCGTGCAAAATAAGGATGGCAAAGTCAAACACCGGTGTGGTGTCGGCCGTTGACCCTCCGACGATCAAGTTAGTAAGGGTTCTCGATAGAGAATTTTAATCGTAATTCGCCTAGTAGGAGTTTTTTTGTGTGTACCTTATTTCCAAGTCGTCTTTGTATTTATAGTCACTTCCCTTATTCTTGATAAGGGAATTTCATCGTCCTTAGCCCATGGAGCCTATCTCGTGGAAATCTTATCCTTGATAAGATTTGAACTTACCCTATGACAAATCCTATCCTAGATACGATTTGTCATCATTCTTATCTAATAGAAATGGTTATCCTTAATAACGAGATATTATCGTCTGAGAGTTGGAGAAATCTGGTAGCCGGTCAATATTTAATTACCTTTTTCGTTAAGTCAAGATAGGCTAGGGTTATTTTTCCCTATCAAGTACATTAGTTTTGGTCGTGTATAATGGAGCATCAGTTTTGATCACAAATAATGAGTTAGTCATCCCAAAGTTATTACTGTGTTACTCATCCCAAGTTTAACTTTGGCAAAATAATGACCAAACATTTACCAAAAAAAAAAAAATAATAATAATAATAATAATAATGGCTAGCGAGAGAGAGAGAGAGAGAGAGAGGAGAAATCAATTGAACCCTTTTAGGCTTTTACAGGCTAGATTTTTTATTTATTTATTTATTATTATTATTATTTACTTTTTCCAATGCAAAATACATATATTATCCAATGGTATCTTTTTTACTACCATTTCAAGTACAAACTTATAATGGTTTAAGTGGGAAAATGAGTGTGTGAGTTGCTTGTTAGAAAAATATATATAGAAAAGGAGCAAAATGATATATCTTATTTATATATTGATATTACAATCTAAATTAATACCAATTTATGAAATTTTTTAATAACATTTTAAAAACCAATAGTAGTAATGACTGGCTTAAATCGAAATTTAACAAGTAAAATATCAATTTGGCCAAAACCGTTGTCAATGCCAATATTATCATTTTGAATCGTGAAAAGGCTATATTGAGGGGTTAGACAATAAATTTGAATAGTATAAATTATTGTATTGTTGAATTGATTTTTAAGTTTATTAAAAACATTTTGTCTCCACTTAAACTTGAATCCTGAGCTTTCTTTAAAAAAATAAAAAATAAAAAATTGACATCATCAGTTTAAAAAAAAAATACATTCAATTTATTTATTATTGTGATTTCTGTTATACTTATATAATGCTCAATTTGCTTCCTGATTCGTCAGTTTGAGGTACATAGAATACAATGGATATCAATTACTATAATACATACCAAATCGACATTTGTAGTTTTTTAATTTTACATAAATTTTTAATAAATAACTAGTGTAAATTTATATTTCTTAATTTCTATTGGCCTATTAATTATTTGTTGTTGTTTGCTTATTAGTTTTTATTTATAGACTGACTCTTGTAATTGCTAATGATTAAGAAGAGACAACCACTGCACCTTTTTGAGATGCCCATTAAAGTGACATCAAATAAACATGTAATAGCTTAGAAGTAGCAAAACTAAAACTCACAAAACACACTAGTTTTCAAAAGATCATCCTTGTTTTAGTCAATTTTATGTACCGCAAGTGACTAATACGGTAATAATTAACAATTTAGCATCAAATTAACAAATAGAGTAATGGAAACCGAAAAGGAATTTTTTGAATTAACACCGAATCTAATGTGGTTAGCTAAATTTGTCATTTGTTAAATAATTATTTTTTAAAAATTATTTAAATAGTTGAGAGGGACAAAAACACGTCAAATTGAATACTTATTCGAAATTAATTATTCATCCCCTGTCATTATTCTAATAAATAAATAGCAAGTTCAACTTCATCCATTCCACCCATTAATAACAATTACCTACCTCCCTCCCTCTCCATTAAACAACCACCTGTAACAAGAAATCAATTTGTATATAGTTTGTGGCCATTTCTTTACTAACAATTTCCGAATAGAAAAAAAAAAGTTTCAAAAGGATA